TCTCTGCGCAAAGCATTCAGTATTATATATTTACCTCTTCTGAGGCCTTTCTTTTCTTCTTATACACTTTGCAGACACTTTCTCTTACGACCCTCTGCCATTTTCTAAGAACTGCAGTAAGAAAGGTAAGCTTCAATAACTGTGTGAACCCGTAGCACACCACAGATATACGGCTGAAAGTGCACATGCGCAGAAAAAGATAGCTAGTGGGACGAGCACATAGGACAGCCTTATGTAAACATATCACCAGAATGATTGACAATTAGGAGACCAATTATTTAGATGATCCACTAACTAAAAGATCGTCCTCTATACCTTTAAGCACTAAGGCAGCATGAAGAAAAAGGGGCAGATGCCTTACATGAAATTGATAAAAGTTGTGTCAAATTCATTTAAAACATCTAAATCAAAGTTTCCTGTGTAGAAATTAGAAATCTGTGCTATATTGTTTGCATGAGTGGAAAATCTTTTAGTAAGTGTTGTAGAGTGGAAGGGAAATAAGCTACAAATGGCTGCATAACTGTGGAGGTCATTTCTAGTCAGGCTTCAAATATCTAAGCCCATTACATATCCCCAGGTATTATAGCAGTAATCAGTGTTCTGAAAAAGTAAATTCCTAAAACAACCACAAGGAGGCCTGTGGGGCTCATATAGTAGGAGCAACCAACTAAGATTATATTCTAGGCTGTGTTTGATTGACATGTGATATTAACAGTATGGATCTAAAGCAAGTTTCTTTCACATTTCTGCATTTGAGAAAAATTCTCACAAAGAAATGTGTTTATTAAATTACTAAATTATTATTGTAATTTTTTTGCAAAGTAAACCTAACTTGTGCTTGTTATCATTTTTGTGGTGGTCACTTTAGCACCTTAGCTGTAAGTACTTTTGCATTTTGTGACATTTTATTCGATTGGGAATGTTTTACATCTGATTTGGAAGAAATACTTTAGGCTACCTTTGGAGATCACTCAAGATCAACTGTGAGGAGATGTTATATGTATAAATTATCTACTAGATGGATAGTAATGGGCTCTCTAATTAATTAAATTTAGTGCAAACTGTGTTAATGAAATAAATAACAATAGCAGGTGCAAAATGGTTTAACTACCTCTATACAGATTTTTTTCTAAAACACTGGTCAAAACTGTGAAGCTAGAGGTATCAGGGGGTAACACATTTAGAATGATTCAAAAATGCAAACATTTTTTAATCTCCTGACTTTTTAGGAATAAACTGAACAATAAGCTACATACAACTGATAGAGTCATTGCAGGTAGTAAAAAGTTTTTAACAAATCATGAATTTTGAGATGTTTTTTAATGTATTGATACCAATATTGAATTTCAAATAAAACAAATAGTTAAACTGAAAATAATTACATTTGAATGCGGGTAGTTTCTGATTTGAAGGATATCGTTATGTCCTTGCAATATGTAATTTATTTTAGTGGATTTTTCTTTGTTTAACTGTTGTGGTGAGAAAACATTCTTACTGTATCCAAAGGGGGGGCCACCAGGTAAAGCTCAAAGGCTAATCGAGGACAGCTGCAATGTGTAGAAGAGAACATTTTAAATGTGGGGTAATTTACAGCATAATTTGTGCACTTCATAAAACATGAAAATATGCCATGAAAATACTAAAACAAAATCAACAACATGCTTTTTTTTTTAGGTGGAGTTGAGAGGGTGAAAGCAATGTGAGGTGATGACTCTGATGTGTTGGTGTGAGTCACTGATCTTTATTTATTAACTGGATTGCTGATAGGCCGTTTGTAGTACCGGGGGGGAGTGAAGCCACCGGCCGCCATGTTGGTACTCCCAAGTTAGACCGGTCGCAATGTAAACAAATACGTGCACTACAGCATCAAACAACAATGATTTTCAAATTTTCAGGGGGCTTTTGAATTAAAGATAAATTTGTCAATTTGAAACACACTTGCTTTTTCATAGCATCAGTAGATGCTGGAATTTATGATAAAAAAAAATAGGCACATCACATTTCCTAGTCAGTATGAATTCTATGACTTCTATAAATCATGTAATATAATATATATATTATACAAATCCATCACAACAAAATGAATGTCTTAATGGAGCATAATAATACTGATGTGCCAAAAGGGATAAATTGATTATGTACATGTAATATACATGTATTGTTTACATTGTTTGATAAATACATATTACATATAATTTCAAGATTTAACTTCATGATTGAATTACAAGTACATGTCCGTTAATCCCGCAACATATCTATGACATAGATAGATAGATATATAGATGACGTTTCAGGAGGAATGTGCCAAAAACAGCAAACGTTGTGATATTCCAACCAAATCTTTCTGCGTAACAGCCGATTCTAACAAATAATAACCAAAATAATGTAAACTAAAAACAATTTTAAGAAGCTACAAAAAGATCTAAGAAAGAAGAACAACAGGGGAACTAAAGAACCTCTGATAATATTCAGCTACCTGATCAAATACCTGATTGTGATGTGTAATAGCGAAGAAGAGAAAGTTACAGGTCTTCATTCAAAGTGGATGGCTTCAACTAAATTGACCAATTCAATAAATAAGAACATTATTGAAAAATTCTTTCATTTTAGTAACTTAATTTACTAAGTGAAATGCCTATCTATTAAACACACACACTGATGTTTTCACAGCTTTATTTCTGGTACTTATGATGGTTTCCTGCTTACAGCTGAAGAAAACAATGCATTTAAGACTAGAATATTACATTAGATTGATAAAGAAAACCATTTTGATGTAGAAATAATGCAAAGTGTTTAATATCTGCTTAAAGGTTATTTTAAAAGTTACTTTTAATTTGACAAACAAGTGTCATAAGAACATGTAATCTATCATTGACTATATGTCATTTTTGAGCTTTTCTAAGAAAGATCACAGCCGGTCAAGGAAAGAGGTGAACTGTAGTTTGGATTGGTTTTTACATTTATGAGCTCTTTATGCTGTTGGTAACACAGCAGTGAATTTCTTTAATCTAAATATGACTCCTGTCATTCTGTTGTTGGTGCGATGGTGCTGCCTGCAGGTCAGATGGAACACAACACCCACTGTTGACTTGAAATAGTAAACATATATGGCTTTCTAGGAAAAGCAACGCCTTTCTATCCAGCTGCTTATCTATGACAACCTGCCAACTAGTGGCAGCATCACGGTTTTCATAGCAGGAAAGATGTATGAAGGTAAAAGAAGGCAAGAAAACCAGTGAGATTAAATAAAAAATAAAATAAAATGTGACCGAGGCTGAACTATTTTGAAAGAGGCTGAACTATTTTGAAAGATAAAGTGCAATTTAAATCCCATGTGTAGCCGATGCAAACAGAACAAAAACTAAAGCTGATTTAGCTAAATATTGACAAAGTGGGCGGATTACAAATGCATGGAAACGTTTCTAAATTTTTATTTTTCTATCTTTGAATCAATTTTTTCTTCCACTTCACTATATGCAATAAAAACCTGAGTAAAAAAAAAAAAAAAAATCTGTCGATATTGTGTGCTATCTTTTGTTATATCCCCTTTCTTATCTTTATAAGCTCTAATTCAAATGAAAACAGATTATTGTGATTGGACGCCTGCTGACATGTGATATGTATTGCTAACTTATTACCTGGAAGAGGCAACTTCTCCACACCTGGAAGTCCTGCAAGTTCACCGTGAAGGTCAGGCAGACTCCTGTTCCTCGACGAAGATCATCTGTTTAAAGTTTCTACGGCTGCTCAATGATTTAATCGTCTCTTAAAAGATGATACCAAGAAGGAATTTCGTATTGCTAAAGATAATTCTTCTAATTACAGGTAGGTTTATGTTTGTTTTTTCCCTTTTTGTGTTTTTCTAAATAGCCCCTGCCACACCTTTATGAGTGTCACTGTTAATCATTGACTCACTTGCAGGCTACTCAATTTGAGGAAGGAGTATTGTGACATTCTGAATAAAATTATATTTCAAATGTAACAAGATTTATCTGCCTCTTAGTATGATAGAAAAGTAGGAATTGAGTGATTTGAAAGAATATTGATTGTAAGTATTTTCTTCTGTTTTCTAGTTTTTACTTACTGCTCGGGGTTGAAAGTGTCAATCCCAGAAAAGGAATATAAGGTCCACAAAGGAGAGGATGTTACACTGACCTGTTCCTTCGTGCCGGCTAGGCCCATCGAAAACAACTTTGTCCTGGCATGGGACGTTATTGGTACCCCATCGGTAAGATGTAAAAGATGGCCCCATGTGCCAAACGTAAAGCAGTGATGTTGTGTTCGCTGTTTGTGGTACAGTGTGTGAAATCAGAGGCTTTTCACTGAGTAAACAAGTCTAATATAGACCTGTAAACTTTAAAAAGAACATTTTTATGCACAGTATCCATAACACTTGTCCAACTATTTGTAAAGTTACAACCCACTCTTCAATGCATATTTATAAGGATTTTACCGACCACAAATCGGTCGATACTTGAAGTGATCAGAAAATTATACATGGTTGGTGATATTTCTTTTCAGAATAAAAAACTTTAAACATTTACTGACAATTTATAATCAACCCCATTACTCTAATAGCCTTAAATATTATTTATTNGAGGCTGAACTATTTTGAAAGATAAAGTGCAATTTAAATCCCATGTGTAGCCGATGCAAACAGAACAAAAACTAAAGCTGATTTAGCTAAATATTGACAAAGTGGGCGGATTACAAATGCATGGAAACGTTTCTAAATTTTTATTTTTCTATCTTTGAATCAATTTTTTCTTCCACTTCACTATATGCAATAAAAACCTGAGTAAAAAAAAAAAAAAAAATCTGTCGATATTGTGTGCTATCTTTTGTTATATCCCCTTTCTTATCTTTATAAGCTCTAATTCAAATGAAAACAGATTATTGTGATTGGACGCCTGCTGACATGTGATATGTATTGCTAACTTATTACCTGGAAGAGGCAACTTCTCCACACCTGGAAGTCCTGCAAGTTCACCGTGAAGGTCAGGCAGACTCCTGTTCCTCGACGAAGATCATCTGTTTAAAGTTTCTACGGCTGCTCAATGATTTAATCGTCTCTTAAAAGATGATACCAAGAAGGAATTTCGTATTGCTAAAGATAATTCTTCTAATTACAGGTAGGTTTATGTTTGTTTTTTCCCTTTTTGTGTTTTTCTAAATAGCCCCTGCCACACCTTTATGAGTGTCACTGTTAATCATTGACTCACTTGCAGGCTACTCAATTTGAGGAAGGAGTATTGTGACATTCTGAATAAAATTATATTTCAAATGTAACAAGATTTATCTGCCTCTTAGTATGATAGAAAAGTAGGAATTGAGTGATTTGAAAGAATATTGATTGTAAGTATTTTCTTCTGTTTTCTAGTTTTTACTTACTGCTCGGGGTTGAAAGTGTCAATCCCAGAAAAGGAATATAAGGTCCACAAAGGAGAGGATGTTACACTGACCTGTTCCTTCGTGCCGGCTAGGCCCATCGAAAACAACTTTGTCCTGGCATGGGACGTTATTGGTACCCCATCGGTAAGATGTAAAAGATGGCCCCATGTGCCAAACGTAAAGCAGTGATGTTGTGTTCGCTGTTTGTGGTACGGTGTGTGAACTCAGAGGCTTTTCACTGTGTAAACAAGTCTAATATAGACCTGTAAACTTTAAAAAGAACATTTTTATGCACAGTATCCATAACTATTTGTAAAGTTACAACCCACTCTTCAATGCATATTTATAAGGATTTTACCGACCACAAATCGGTCGATACTTGAAGTGATCAGAAAATTATACATGGTTGGTGATATTTCTTTTCAGAATAAAAAACTTTAAACATTTACTGACAATTTATAATCAACCCCATTACTCTAATAGCCTTAAATATTATTTATTTCCCCTCCAAGTTTGCTCTATGGACAAAGAAAGCCCACCTGTACCTAAATTGGAGAATAAATCTATTTTCTCTGTGAATGGCTGATATGTTAGAGAACATTAGTGAGCATACAGCAACATACAGCCCTCAGAGTGTCAAAAGTCAGATTATGAAGCAGCATTAATCAAAACCTCTACAATATCATGGTTTTATTTAGTTTATCAACTAAATGGCTGGACTTCTAACCTGGTTGACCAAGCAAAGAGAACATTATTCAGAGAAATCAAAGCTAAACACATAAAAGACACTGCCTGTCACAGTGTTTGCGGCAAACTCTAAAAACTCCAATTAAATTTCTTCAAAAGACATAGATTCTGGCTAAGTGACTCATCAACAGACCTCTGGACTCACAGTATTGAGTTATAATGTGAGAATATGAACTGGAAATCCCGAGAGCATGCATTAGGATTACTTATTAAAACCTGATGGTCTGTGAGTGAACATTAAAAGATGCTTGCTGAGGGAAATCAAATTTCTGAAATTCTGCAGGAAATCTATTGGAAATTTAACTTTTTTTTAATTAATTAACATTTCTGACATGATTTTACCGTTTCATTTAGTATTTTCTCAAAAACCATATGTTTGACGAAAAAAACATAATCTTTGCAAATGTCTCTCAATTTCTATCTGTCTCGTGACGTTGTTGATAAATTGCTGCATAGGTCTGACCTTACCGCCCGTATCTTGGTCAGACAGTTGAAAGGGAATAGTGACTGGTCTACGCAGCCCTATTCATTTTTAATATGTTTTTAAAGCTACGGACATCATTCTACCTTTTATGTGCCCCATTATTTGACAAATAGGATGCAGGGTCTTTTTACGGGATAACTCTGGATGCGTTGCAAAGATCCATGACTCAGGTGCAAGAATAGAACGAAGCTGCTCACAAGACTGCTATTAGTTATACACTTTACAAATCTGGCCTTTATTGTAGAGTGGCAGGAAAAAAGAAATCCTGGTTGGATGGAACTGTCCTGTTTGTAGTTTCCTACGACTACTGTAGACATAACATACATGTGAAAGCAGGTACTCTGCTCAGATGAAACAATGATGAAACCACCATTACCTTAGTAAAATATGGTGGTAGCAACACCATACCGTGGAGATGCTTTGCTTTAAAATGGAAATGGTTTAGAGTCCATGATTTATATACCAGGGTTTTTTGGGAAAACATATGCCAGCTGAACATGACCCTGAGTGTGTGAGGATGCACTCTATACACTGTATATAACCCAATGCACCTTTTCTTATTTTGATACCTGCTTCTTCTTCTTGACAATTTGAGCAGATGTAACAATCAATAAACCTTGGATCAAAATACAATACATTTGTTAGAGTTCCCCGGTCAAAATCCAGGCATAAAAAATATATTTTCCAGTAATCTGATCCAGTCATTTCTATTTTTCTTGACATCACAGCAACACAGTTACAGAAATCCAGTGACTTCAGTTTTATGTTTCCCGCTAGTGATAATTTATATCTGTGTTAATTGTCACCTTATTTTGAACATTTATGTCAAGCACGATGCCTTTACTCACATGTTAAGATGTATGGTTAATTAACGAATCGCTATCTGATTTTGGCTGATGGGCTTAGCCTATGTGTTGGATTGGATTGGATCAAAGTGCAAAATACTTCTGCTTTCACTTCACAATCATGTGCAGCTTTGTTTCAGTCTACCACATCAAATCTGATTAAATCCAACAATGAAGTTTGTGGTGCAAATAATGAGAAATGAGTGAACGTTTTTGTAAAAGGCATCATTCTACTTTTTAAGTTTAATTTTAACTCTAAGCCAAAAGCTCTCCCAATTAAAAATTCTAGCAATTAAATAAATTCTTGTTTAGCACTTTTTAAAGAAATTTATTAGCTTTAATGAACTATAACGTCAATGCAATGAGAGAAATGAAGCAAATGATCAGTGGTTTTATTGATTGTTTTTATGAGGTTCTTGTAACGGTAATGAACTCTGTCAAGGCGATGATGAATGAGGGAATCCCTCAGAACTGCAGTAGGCCTATGCATAAAACTCAGTGCTGCTTGAACGGAGATGTTCCCATTAAATATCTTATCTACATGGGTACACTTTTGCTTTATAAATTGGTTGGGATAGAATCAAATAAAATACAATACTTTTACCAGCAGTAGAAATTAGCCAACATCAAAATTTAAAAGACTTGTTCTTAATAAGTCAAAAAATATGTCATAACTGTGATGTCATAATCACTTGAAACTTTATTTATTATCTCTAACTGTATATTCTTCTTTCCTTTCACCAGAAAGCTGTGGCCACCTTCTTTAAGAATAGTCCCGTTGACATTGCTCCGGCTTATGAAGGAAGAGCCTCCCTGGAGGTTGACGTTGAAGGGGGAGTATCAACGCTCCAGTTAACAAAGGTGACCATGGAAGACAGCCGCCTGTACCAGTGCAGCGTCAGAATCCCCAATGATGATGAAGGGACACCAATTGCTTCTACTTCTGTTTTAGTCCTTGGTGAGACTTAACACAAAGTCTGTCAGTCTAAATGAATATGATATAAATACATAATATATGCGTCCATAACAATTTTAAGAAAAACATAGATTAATGTATTTTCTTTTTTGTAATTGTGGGGGTGGGCATATCCCCTGCACTTTTTCAAATGTCCATTTTGGTCCCCAATGTTTTACTGTCCAAAAAAAATGTTGTTTGATTGGCCCACTGTCTTTTCTTGTGAGATTGGCTGTCACCACTGTCACTCCTGAGAAGCTCACTTTACAAACATCTGATGCCCCAACCCCAACCCCCACCCCCACCCCACACACACACACACACACACACACACCCACACACACACACACACTTCTGAAAGCAAAATTTCGTCCATTTGGCGTAAAGAAAAAGCAGACTACCTTTGTAATCAAACAATAACTTTATTTCAGTGTCTCTATTTCAGCACTGAACATCTTTTAGTAATTACACTAAAACAAATGTTTGTCACATCAAATATGTGTCAGGTGGTAACCAAATCCTACTAGTCCTCCTCAGAGTTTAGGAGGCATTTTAATGTCCTATTAAACCTTAAAACAAAGGATTACTTGCATTCTTCATATAATAATGTCAAAATGTTCTTTTATTCCTTTAAATGTAAAGGGTGTGGTGGGCGCATCACTTGAAATACCCGGCACCCTTTCCATCCAAGCTGCCACACTACCGGAGGGAAATTTGTTCCAATATTGTTCAAATAAATAAATACAAAAAAAAGGAATTTTACAATATTACCTATTTTCGTTTGTTTTAATCTAAAAGATGGAAATTAAATATTTATGCTATTTTCAATCAAATAATATCTCAATTCCAAGATGATTAGTTTGATAAATTATTTATATCTTTTATATATAATATAGTGTTCTGTTTTAGGGTTTATGGGTCTTTAATCGTTTTTTTTTTTTGTTTACTCTGTCATGATCTGCCATTTACACTAGATGTCATTACTCAACCATATTTTGACTCGAGATTGCCTCTGACTCTTTCCTGTCCTCAGTTGTCATATTATCACTCTTGGGTGCCCTGCAAAAATATTCATATCAATTGAGCTTTTTATACATTTTAACATTGCACTTTCATGGAGTAATTGTGAAGTGATACACTGCTCTCAGAAATGGTAGCAATGTGCACTGGGGATGTATTTTTATTAAACTTTGTTTTACAGAAGAGACAGAGAGAATGATCAGAGTGGATGTGAGGATGAATGCAGCTATAGTCCAGACCTGGAAAAAAACTGGTTAGAAGCCTTAAAAGCCTTGAGATTAGGCTGGAAGTTCATCTTCCTGAAAAACAACTGTCTTATAGATAGGGATAAAATTAGAAAAGATTTTTCCTCCCAAAGTGAAAGAAAAAATGCATTGTGCAGTATAAAATGTAAAAGATTTGAAATCTAAACCATTTACCAAAATAAATGGGCTTCTTCTTTATATGCTGTAGTTAGAAAATATGATTAGGTATAATGTCTATAGCAAATATTCATTCTATTAACACCTGGGATGGAGAATCAATTAAAAACTTTATTGCACTTTATGTTTAAATAAAGTTAACTTCTATTTCAGAACCTCCCTCTAAACCAATATGCACGCTCCAGGGAAAAGCAGAGTATTACAGTGACATCACACTTACCTGCAAATCTGAGGAGGGTTCTCCAGCTCCGACCTATCAGTGGGCAAGCTACAGTGTTGACAACATTCAAAGACAATTTCCACTAAAGACAACAGAGAGTACGTATTTAAAGCAACCATAACTTAACATGTTCATTTATCAAGTCGGCTGGGCTACTATACTCTGCATGTCCCTACTTTGTTTGATATAATTATTATTATTTTTTCTTTACAGAGGATGGAGTTTTGTCTCTCTTTAATATCACAAGAGAGACGTCTGGATTCTTTATTTGCATTTCACAAAACAACATTGGCTCGGCCAGCTGCAACTTTACCTTAGCTGTGATGCCTCGTAAGTATTTCAACATATTTCAATTAAAAATCTAATGTATATAGTCTGAGATTAGTCTTTCCAACAATTACACTTTTATCAAATGTTCCAGAGTGATGATGGCAAGAGAAATGGTTTCCATATTTTTCACAAATAAGATTCTAAAAAAGTGTGCATTCGCCTTCAGGCCATTTTACTAAAAAAATCAATTTAATCCAATTAAGGCTTTTTAGAATATTTTAATATTTAATCACAACACAGGTAATCTCAAGGCACTTTACTCAGGCTAACCTGGGTCACTCTAGTATAAGCAGTAGTGGTTCTAGACCATACCTAGGAGGAAGGCCAGGGTGGTGCCCGCGTGTTTTCATGTGGGCAGAGAAAAGCATGAAAGGAAAACAGGGCAATACTTAATCAGTTGAAATATCTTAAGAGAGATGCAGAACCAAAGAACTACCTGTAAATCAGCACTTAATGAAGTAAAACATCCATGTCATTCAGTTTAATCAAAACAGAAAAAATCCCTTACTTCTGAAAAAAAGCAACTGAAATAATTAGTCGGCAAACAAATAACTACTAAACATACAATAAAGCTATTCTTAGGGACATTAGATAACTTTACATATTTTTGAGTTATCTGAAATTAAAAAGATTAGTTTTATCGTATTTAGATCTTAAGTAAAACTGATTAATTAATCAGTAACAAATTAGAGTCGTTATTTTTTATTTGGTTTAAAATAACATTAGCAGATGAAAACTGTGATCCTATCTCATTATAAATAAGTTGTTATAAGTCATTATAAGTTGTCCTTTTAAAATTAGAATTAAAAGCATAACTGTATAGACAGAAAATTAAATTGATCTGTTTGTTTACGCACATATCATCCTTAGAATTTATTTTGATGTTATTTATTCAGTACATTGGCCCCTGTATGGAACCACCCATGTCTGTAAGCTGTATAATAAGGAGCAAACCTAATCATAAAAGTAGACCAAGAGAGGAGAACAACAACTTCAATGATTTTTTGCATTATCCATATTTCTATCACGGTTTATCAGGATGGGTGCTGATGCCCATCTCCAGCTGTTTACGGGCGAGGGTTAGAGTACACCCTGGATAGGTCACCAGTCTATTGGAAAGACCCCGGGGCTGGGAATCAAACCCGGAACCTTCTTGCTGCAATGCTGCAGTGCTACCACTGCGTAACTGAGCAGCGGATTATTTGTATTTCTGATGTCTGGCTACCATTTGTTTGTCCCTAGAGCCAATAATCTTCTAATTCATGAAGTTTAAATGATCTAAAAAGAGTTTCCACTTTGGTCTTGATACTGAATCTCACTCCTCTTTTTCCCATCAGATCATTACACTCTTATTAAATGTATTCACTTTAAATATTGCTACAACTATCTTATTAAAGTTGTCTGCTATGGTTGTTCTACCTATGTATTTTTCCTGTCCCAATATTATGTGAAAAGAAGATACATCTGTCATATCTTTTGCATATGAATTTTGTATTTTTATTTTTTTCCAGCAAGTATGGGTATGGGGTCTACTGCAATAATAATAGGAATAGCAGTAGTTCTTGGTGCTCTTCTGCTTCTGGGGATTATCATTTTCTGTTACCGAAAGAGAAAGAGTAAAAAAGAAGCTACTGTAGAGGGGTATGTAATGTTTACTTACATTTAAGTTTTAAAACAGTACATTTAAAAAAAAAAAATAAAAAATTTATGTAATTGTTTACAATATCCTTGCTGTCTTTGTTTTTAGTGCGCATGGGGATAAGGTGTTTTATGACAAAGAAGGTTCTGAAGTCGGAGAGCCATACTTGGATGACAAGTCCACTGGAAAAAAGCTGCCTAGTCAGTATGAAGACAGCGATATAGCTTCTGAAAGAAATTATGTGAAGCATGATGGAAAAGGTAGTGATACAGATTCCCACCGTTACCATGGTGAAAAGAAGGATTACTCTCGTGGAAGCAGGGATAACCTGGACAATGAGCGGGATCGCTATGGAAGCCGGGATCGCCTTGATGACCGACGTGATCACCACAGAAACCAGGATCCTGATGATCAACGCAATCGGTATGGAAGTAGGGATCGTCTTGATGACCAACGCGATCGTTACGGGAGCCGTGATCGTCTTGATGATCAACATGATCGTTACAGAAGTCAGGATCGTAATGACCATCGCGATCGTTATGGCAGTCGAGATCGCCTTGATGATCAGCGCGGTCGCTATGGTAGTAGAGATCGGCTTGACGATTACCACGATCAGTACAGCGGTGGTAGAGACGTGTATCATGGTAGCCGTGATCGCATTGATTACCGTGACGATTAATGCTGAAACATAAATATGTTGAATTCCTGGAATACTATAAAAAAAGATCTTTCTTTCACATCTATCTTTCTATATATAATTCCTCTGAGAACTTCTCTGAGGAAGACTCAAATTAAAAGTATGCATTAGCAGAGGCAATCTACCTTTCTACATTTCATTCCCATTTTATGTCATTTTTATCAATCCCATGTAGAAGAATGGATCCTGGGGTTAAAGAATGTCTTGATGTCAAGTTGTTTTCTGTGTTCGTAATCCTTGCAAAAGATACTCTCCAGATAATGGACATCAATAGACATTTTTATTGTTATTGCCCTTTATAGCATGAAACCAAAAGTGGTTTCATGCTATAAAGGGCTATTTTTTTTGGGCTATTTCTCCAATCACCAGGAAGATACAGTACTTTGAAGCATTGATTTATGTTTAGATTGGCTTTTAGTATGTCCAGCTTTATGATGAACAATGCCCCAACAACCCCAGCAACTTTTAGGAAGCAATGGACATTTTTATGCATACATCTTTTCCGCACTCAAGCAAATATATTCAAATGAATAAAAATGTTACCTTCTGTTGGTCTTTCAATGTAGTTTTGCTTGGTGGGTTGTTGCCGGTCGACAAGGCCAAATAAATAGCTATTTAACCATTAAAAATAGATGACTGGCTTGGGTTACCAGTATTTGTCACATACTGGTTGGCTCTGCATTTGGAACCCATACCCTTTTTACCCATATTTGTGCAGAACATGATGAAATGACATAAAGGGAGATGTCATCTATGGATACTTTTGTGGTAAGGGCGTGTTTTTAGTTTTGACTTACCAATGATTTATTTTTTTTTTATTTTTTAATAATGTATCAGTGTTGCACATACACTGAAATCTGCTGTGTGTTAATTTTGGTTAATTTATTTTTTATTTACTTTTTTGTTTTCAAAATCATGCCTCTTTTATATTAATATGGGAAACAAAATACTGATTTTATTGTTGGTCTGCAGCAAGGGCAGTTCTAGACAGGGGGCCAACAGAAGCTAGTACCCCAGATCCTGTTGTGGCTCCTGTCCTGAAGGCATAATACTAAAAAAAAAAAATTCTAAAGATGATATGCGATGGAGCAGACATAATTATTGATGCTCCCTTGGACTCATTTGCTAAATGTTATTTTTTTTAAACCAAAAACAAAACAAAACAAAAAAAAAACTATAATTGGACAAAGCTGAATTTTTGGTCTGTATACTTGTGATTTTCCTTTAAAAAAAGTCCTACATATGTAATACTCAAAATGAATGCACATTAACCTAATATTAAAAAAAGCTCTTTTTCATTTTTCAGTAGATATTTATTTGGCAAATAATTCTTTCAGTTGCTTTTGGTTCCATGATTAGCGATTTCTCTTTTATATATTAGACAAATAAAGTTAATATGTTCAAACCAAAACAATTTTTTTTTTTCAATAACTACATAAAATTTTAATGAAACTAAATGACATGGACATTTCAGTTAAAGCCGAGCCACAAGTACCGTAGATCTTTGGTTCTTTAGCTTTAATAAATATTTTAAATGATTGCCCTGTTTTTCACGCTACCCTGCCCCCCTAATACATTTGGTCTAGAACTGCCACTGGTCTACAGAAATCCAAGTTAAGTAATGCATCATTTGTAACGGTTTAATTTTTCTTTTTCTCTTTCTTCTTGTCTGTGTGTTTTTTTTTTTTGTTTTTTGATGTTATTTTTTATTTTATTTTTTCAAGACAGTCTGTAGCAGTCAGATAAATGGGCTGCATTTTGTATGGAAAATAATAAATTAACCCAAAGGCTCTGGGATAATTCACTCGTGTGTTGCAAAACTTTTTTTTTTTTTTTT